ATGTGAATTCCTTTCTCGATTCATTCACATAACACAAATCAATTAAGAGGTGGCCAAGCTCTTAATTGCATTAAGCACAATAATTCATAGACTTTATCGAAATCACAATCTTGGATAAATCATGAAGATAGAAATATATTCATTAACATGGTTAGGCTTTCCACAGTCCTAGCAAGAAACAAATCAGTTCATGATAAGAGAATTAAAGCAAACAAAGGGAAAGAATGAACTCTTGAATTCGCCCATGGTGCTGAGATCTCTTCTTCTTGCCGCCACCTTCTTCTTGAGATTTCTTGAATTCTTGATCTCCTTCCTTTGTTTCTTGACTTCTTTTCTCCTCTCTTGACTGATAGCTCAATGCAATTCGTGATCCAAGGCTGGTCTGCCCCCTCCTTTATATAGCTTAAAGGGGAGGTGGTGGTCTCCTACTTCCTCTTGAAGCTTATCTTACAAGAATAGAAATTCCTATTCTAATCCTACTCTTATCTCTTTATCTATTGAACTCAATCCCTTTATCTTTCTAAGATTACATCAAGAATTTAGATCTGGAAGGACTCTTCTCAATTTCTTATTCTTGGATTCGTATTAGACCTCCTCTACGAATTGGGCTTCAGCCGGGCTTTTCTGCAAGTTGGGCTTCAGCTGCGGATTGGGCCTTCCTACGAATTTGCCCCGACTTCGGGCCCGGATTTGTCTTCGATGCAGGCCGAATCTGCGAAATCCCAAAACATGAAAGTTGTGGCTTCTTCTCTTATCTTCCCAGTGGGTCTTGAATCCGCCTAATCAGAGTTCGGATACGTGAGTTAGGCCCAGATTACTGAATGCTGCCAAAATTGTGAAAAATCATCTGATTTGCCTTTCTTGCTCCTGATGCCTTCTTTCATGCCCTGAACTGAAATACAAGATATATGAGTCCAATTAAGTACTAATTAGGTATGAAAGACAAAATATTTGGGGATAAAAATGTGATAAATTCTACTCTCATCAGGGTACGTATGCCTTATCAACCACCTGCTGAGCTTGAACCCCTTGCGGTAGGCCTCCCCCAGAACGACACCGAACTTATCGGACTAAATATACTCAGAGACGGCCTTAACCTTCGTCTCCTCTATCGCCCGGGTAAAGATCTCGGTCTTCTCTGCGATGTTCGCCTTGAGGTACTCCACCTCGTGCAGAAGAACCTTCTCCTTTTCCTTAAGGCCTTCCGCCTCTGCTTTAAGGGCGTCCAGCTCGCCCTTCAACACGCCCTTCTCGCGTGTCAGCTTCGCTCTAAGGGCCTCCATTTTGCCCCTCAGCTCGTTGTTCTCACGAGCTAGCCCTTCCTTCTCCTCTGTCAGCACCGTGATGACGCCCCTCTGGGCCATGGCACTGCTCTCCAACCGGTGGATCTGCTCACGAGCCATCCTCAGTTCGGTATGGGCAGCGCGGGAAGACTCCTCGGCAATCAAAGCCCGCTTTAGGTACCTCTCGGTCTGAAGAGTAAGGGCATGCACGGCGGAGTTTGCCTGACAAAGGAGCTAGTTAGTACCGGAGAAGCACATATACAAAAAAGAAAAGAGAGAAGAAAACTTACCACCATAGTGTGGGTGGCAGCCCAGGCTCCGAGCTGAGAAGGGTTGAGCATGTCAGCCCAAACCGAAATCTCCTCGGAGTAAGTTGCCCCCTTGCTCTTCCGAAGACCGCATTGGGGGAGCAAGATGCTTTGGCCCCCATTTGGGCTCCCCGAGCTGGAGACAGCTGTCTCGGCTGCAACGTTAGCAGCCCCGGTGGCAACCTTGGCCTCGGCTGCCAACCTCACTACGGCCTCAACCGAGGCCCCAGGCTCCCTAACTGGTAGGGACTCCTCCAAGTCGATGATCGGAGGAGCCCTAGGGAGCTCGGGCTCAGAGATTGGAGCATGTGGAAGCTGGGGCTCAGGCGGCGACTCGATACGAGCTCTCTTGGCAGCCCGCTTCTTCCTCCCCTTCATATGCTTAAAGAGCCAGTCTCCCTTGAGTTTGTCTGCCTCCATAGGACCTGCAAAAGAGTTCGGCATTAGTACGAGCAAAAGAAGGAAAAGAAGAGTAGGCCAAACAACTAAGGTACTAACTACCTACCCGGGCTCAAGCCGGCCTGGAAGAGCATACCCTCTTTGATATAATCTCTGAAATCACAGCCGACCTCAGCCCACGATTGGAATGCCTCCCTGGTCTTCTTGTCGAGTATGACGCTAGGGTCTTGGATAGCCGCCCTCCAGTGAGTAGGAAAGGGCCACCATGCGGGATTCTGGACTACGAAGTAGTCCTGCTTCCAGGCAGGGATCTTGCTAGGAAGCTTGTGCATTAGCTTAAAGCCCGGGCGGGGGGACAAGTAGTAAGCCCTCCTGTGCTCGGGGAGAACACATGAAGCGCTCTTCTTGATGGTCAAGATGGAGCAGAGTATGTCCAAGTCAAGGGGCATGACATACTCATAACAAAGAGAGATGGCCCCGACCACGTTACGGACCAAGTTCGGGTGAAGCTGGTCTATCGTAACGTTGAAGTGTTTCAATACCTCCACTAAGAGTGGATGGAAGGGAAGACGCAGCCCGGCTATGAGCTGCTCTCGAAATATCACGACCTCGTCAAGGTCGTGCTCCCATGGGAAGTTCCCCGCAGGTAAACTATAGGTATACTCCCTTGGCAAGTTATATTGCCGAATGAGCTCGCGGAGCCTCTCCAAGGTCATGGTGGAGGGTCCGAACCTATCTAGCATCCGAACTCGATGAGAGGTGGATGCCTGGTGACCCGAGGCATCCCGTGCCTCGGGAGGGTTAACCTAAGCCGAGGTACCCACCTCAGGCTCGTCCAAAAGGCTATCAAAGGAAGACATAATTGAAACTAAGTGCTAGGGTGACTCACCAAAGAGAAGTAAGACCGGATTGAAAGGAACTGACCCGAGCTGGAGGCTTTGGACGTGAGCTCAAGACTATAGCTGAAGATTTGTGGCAAAGGAAAATGACCAGAACCCCCACTATTTATAGCCACTATCCACGGGCATCAACGGTTGAGATCAAAGCAATCTGACGGCCCTCATGAAAACCAGCTGCACGACCTTGAAATCAGTTTAGCGCATTTTTTGGCATCCGCGGAGTCTATAAATCGTGTGACGTCCGCACGTAGACTGTACACGACCCGAGCTGCGCCTGGCAAAACCGAGCAGGGAACCGGTCCAACCTATGAGCTGGCGGACAAGAAGGCTTAGACCTCGAGCCAAATCAACCCGGCAGACCTCGGACTCCCCACACTGGGTTAGCACCCCTAGCACGGGGAGTGGGGGGCAATTGATGTAGGGTGATTTGGCACGACCTCGTAGCATGGGGAGATGTGGACATGACCTGGCATGAACAACAACTCAGCATGACAGCCTGGCCACAACCTGGCGTAACAAGCTCGACGAAGCCCGACCAAGCGACTCGGCGGGAGTAACAGCTCGCTAGGAGGCGAGGCTCAGCTTGCCCCAAGCGCAAGGCCTAAGCGCCCCGAGCTCCCGCAGCCCTAAGGGACCCGAGCTCCCCACGAAGGAGCCCGAGCTCCCCTTGAGCCCCAAGCTCTCCTCTCCTAGGGAGCCTCGAGCTCCCCTTGAGCCCCGAGCTCTCCTCTCCTAGGGAGCCCCGAGCTCTCCTCTCCTAGGGAGCCCCAAGCTCTCCTCTCTTGAGGAGAGGACATCTCAGCTTTTTGGCTAAGTGTCCCGAGGGAGAAGTACCTCGAGACCGCACCCGCAGAATCCGTACCTGCCGGATCAAAGTAGTTCGGCAGCCTGTAGGGGAGATCCACCTGACATCCATACCTGCCGGATCTAGTGGCAATGCCCACATCTCTTGCCAAACGGCGTCGTGCCTGCTGTCCCTGAAAAGCATAGCACGCCTGACGAGTCCGTACCCTGTAGCAGCAGCCCGCAGTGGCAGCCTGCACCTACCACCTCAGTCCTGGCAGTAACGGCTAGGGCAGTGATGGTTACACCTGATGTGACCGACTTCCGGTATAAAAGGACCACCACCCTCGCGAAGCAAAGGTATTGAAGCTTAAGCACTTTCAGCACTCTTACTCTCTACTCTCTCTTTAAGATTCTTCTCCAGTTCTAACTTAGCCGTCGGAGTGTTCCCACCGGGATATCTCCCCGAGAACCCTTCACTTCCTCCTTCCTCTTAGATGCCGTTCGTACCAACCAGAAGCCAGGTCACAGCCAGCTAGGAGTGCTCAGATCATGCAACATCACCTTCCATTAACTGAGTTAATGGGAAGGGGATCCTTATCTCACGGCCAAAGTTCAAAGGGTCTTTGTCACAAAAAAAAAAAAAAAGTGTTAACAAGAATCTTTATAATTTACCCAAAATAAAATTATATTGAAACAAGATTAAGATTAAGATGGATGCAGCAAATCATAACAATCTTAATTTCAGCTTTTTTCCAAACAAACAATATTTGATATTGAATTCCAAAAGCTACTTTGACTGGCTGATTCATATCAATATCACTTCTCAAATGTGATTGATATGTGACAATGTGAGGTCACTGAGTTAATCATCAAATTTGACATTTTGTGTAAAAACAAAAGGATAACACAATGGTACCAAAAGAAAAAAAAAAAGAAACTACTATTTATCTATGTAGAGTAGTTTGATTCTTTTACCAAAAAAAAGAAAAAAAAGAGAGAGAGAGTCTGACTCAATTTGTATTCAATCCAAATAGCCTGGCTGCTAGTTGAATACAAGATAATCTAACTGGTTATGGCGGTGTTTGACATTGATGTCATTTTCCCATATAACAGACATTGGTGGAGAAAAAGGGTAGATGTTTGGTTTTAATTTTTTTTAGAAAATAACCATAATTTGAAATTTGGAAAGGTGTGGTGTGAGAAAATGTTGAATACATCAGTAATTAACATGACATGACTACGATGTGGCATTGAATAATAGGTAAAGCCCATGGGATCGAGGTGCTGCCTTGCTGAATCACGGCCTTGCTGAATCTCAGGTAACGACATCGATACCAAACCCTTACATATAACCAAGGCTCAGAGTTCATTATAAACAAAGGTTCCATCAACTGATCAACACTGCCTTGCTGAATCACAGCCATGGCATCAGAGCTGCTGAGACTGGGAAGTTCCATCCCAGTACCTAACGTCCAAGAGTTGGCCAGAAAGCCCATGGTCACAGTCCCACCTCGATACCTGCGACCCGATCAGGACCCTCCTGTCATCACCAACGCAAATTCTCTTCCCACAATCCCTGTCATTGACTTGAACAACCTGCTTTCTGCAGAATCCATGGACTCAGAATCAGCAAGGCTTCACTCTGCTTGTAAAGATTGGGGCTTCTTCCAGGTATGTATCTGCTAGTCTCCATGTAAGAGATGGATATTAAGCTTTTTCTCTCTCTCTTCCCTTCTTGTGGGTATGACTTTGGGTATGATATTAGCAGCCTTTTTGGTCTTACAAAGATATCATCAAGAATCCAGCTTAGAGTTTTGGAAATTATTGGAACCCATGAACCAAACGTACTTGGAATTTTTATAGAAACAGAGGCATCTTAATCGGAATGGAACTTCTGGGTTCAAGTTGGAATTTTCAATCACTTCGATTAATTATTTGATTAACGAATTTAGTCGATCAGGTTCAAGTTGGAATTTCCAATCTTATGTCACTCATATATTTGGTTTCTGAGTATAGTTAACAAACCATGGAGTAACTTCTTCATTGGTGGAGAAAATAAAGTTGGAGATTCAGGAATTTTTCAAACTCCCCTTGGAAGAGAAGAGGAAGTTTTGGCAGGAACCAGGCGATTTGGAGGGATTTGGGCAGGCCTTTGTTCTATCTGAGGACCAGAAACTTGACTGGGCAGACATGTTTTACATCACAACCCTTCCCATGCATCTAAGGAGGCCCAACTTATTTCCCAAGCTCCCTCTTCCTCTCAGGTTCTCTCTCTCTTTCTCTCTCATTTTTAGTTGCATCTTCTGAAAAACCAATGTGTCTGTGCACGCAGAGAAACCTTGGATGCTTACTCATTGGAGTTAAAAAATCTCACCATGATTCTCTTAGAGCAGATAGCCAAAGCTCTGCAAATGAAAGCTGAGGAGATGAGAGAACTACTTGAAGATGGGATACAATCAATGAGGATAAATTACTATCCCCCATGTCCTCAACCAGAACTTGTCGTCGGCCTCACACCTCACTCAGATTTCGTAGTATTGACCATTCTCCTGCAAGTAAATGAAGTTGAAGGTCTCGAGATAAGAAAACAAGGGATGTGGATTCCGGTTAAACCCCTTCCAAATGCTTTCATAGTGAACGTTGGAGACATTATGGAGGTAATAACTAGAAATAAGCTGAATCATGAATCTATCTACTTATATAGTGATATCAATTGGGTGGGATAATTAAGGAGGTGTTTGGTATTATGATCTTTTCAAGGTAATGTTTATATTTGAGCTGGAAAGACATGATACCAAAATGGTTTTGACTAATCACAACCTCGCGTGAATTTTGATGAAAACCCACTTGATTGGTCACTACTTTTATGATATCGGTTGAATAGTTTTAAGTTGATATATCTTTCACGCATCATAGTCAATAAACCCATGGTGTTCACATGATTTCAATCAAACCCCATCAGTTGATACCTATGGCCTCCATGGGAGGAAAGAAAGTGAGCTCAATCCTATTGAATCAAAGGGTTCTACAAACACTGACCTCATCTGCTTATAACAGATTGTGACAAATGGAGCATACCGTAGCGTGGAGCACAGAGCAACTGTGAATTCAGTGAAAGAGAGGCTCTCAGTTGCCACATTCTACTTCCCAAATTTTGAAAGAGAGATAGGGCCTGCACCCAGTCTCATCAGCCCACAAAACCCAGCAGTTTTCCGAAGAGTGGGAATGGAGAAGTTCTTCAAGGGATACTTTACTCGAGAACTCAGTGACAAATCAACGCTCGACAACGTCAGGATTGAAGATGGAGAAGGCAGCAGCAGCAGAAGCAATTGAATTTTGCCATTATACACAATAAGTAAGATGGATCCCTTTTCCAATAATTTCATCCTTGCTTTCTGACCTTCCAAAGTAAAAAACATTGAATCTTTGGTAATTGTGAATGGTAATTTACAAGTTCTGATATTTTATTTTAATTGAGTATCCTTTCATCTAGTGGTGCAAGTTGGGCAAGCTGGCCTAAGCCCAAGGTCAAGACTGAACTGCCCATTCCAGGTCTAATTCGCCCTGAATTTTGAAGCATTCAGGTTGAGTTTAGGTCCAGGCCGGGCTTAGGTTAGTCAATCATTTCAGGTTGGACCAGGCTCAATTTGCGATATGATCAGGTTAGGCTTGGATGGGGTTCAGACTACCCAAGGACTAAACCAAACCCTTACCTAAAAATAAAAAAAAAAATGCAAATTTTTTTGATCCAGGCCCAGCCGAGACCAAAAATACAAGTTTAACCCTTGTAAAATTGCAGGCTGGATCAATTTGGACTCAGGTTGGATCCACTCAACTTATACCTCTACTTCCATCTGCGTCATATGGACCAACTTACACCTCTACTTCCATCTGCGTCGTATTCCTCTCCCTCTCTCTCTCTCTCTCTCTGTTGTCAATAAAAGCTAAATGGTTGGTTCAGACAGAAATGGAAATTGGAATCAATGGGAATGGAAATGAGAATGCCAATTGAAATCAATGGGAATGGAGATGATAATGGGAATCAGCAGGAATGAGATTTCATTCCCAAAGGAGAGGCAGAAAATGATCATTCCCTCAAATAGGAGAATGCCATTCGAGCATGAATATGAATGGAATTTCGATTCCGTCCAACCAAACAGTTGAAATTGGAATTACCCATTTCAATTCCAATTCCAGACCACTATTTCTGTGAACCAAATGAGACCTAAATCCAGCTGATTTTCGACAGAGTAGGATCAGAGAAGTCCATCAACCCCGACTCTGGTTTTCTGTCAACGGAAGGCATACGATTCCACACATATTTCTTTGTCGGGTAATGCTAATTTATTATGGAATCTTGTCAGTTCTTGCTGCTCAAACTCTGATTATGATTTGGTTCCTGTGGTTTTTATCTCATCTTTTCTGTGAAATGCTACTAAAAGGTTGCCTTGTCCTCATGCTGATTATGATTTGGTTCCTGTGGTTTAAAATTAGTCTTTTCAAACTTGAGGCTCCAATATGGGATATGATCAAGATCAAAATATCAACACACCCAATACATAAAGTTGGGTATCAGTGCATATTGGCATCACCATTGCTCTATAGGTCCATTTGGTTCGCAGTTGGAATTGGAATTGAAATTGGAATCAGGATTGAAATTCTTTGAAATAAGAATTGGAATGGTCTATTCTCAGTCTGTTTGGTTCAAACAAGAATGGGAATAAGAATTAGAATCAGTATGAATGGGATTTCATTCCCAAGGGAGGGGTAGGTAATGGTCATTCCCTCAAATGGGGAAATGCCATTCCAGCAAGAATGGGAATGAGATTCCAATTCCGTTTAACCAAACAGTTGGAATCAAAATATCCTATTCTGATTTCGATTGCAGGCCTATATTCCTGCAAACCAAACGGGGCATATATTCTTTTTTTTTACAATCATTAAAGGGATGCCAAGGATCATTCGAAACTTTTAAAATTTATTTGTATCGGTGTATCCATACGTATCTGGGTGCACCGATACAGATATAATACACCCTGATGCAAGATCTTGGATATGATATGACAATTCAACTTTGTTATGAATAGAATTAACACTTAATAAAGTAACTCTGGGCAACTTCCATGACTGCTGTAAATAGAGGGTTGCCAACTTGCCATGACAGCTAGAGTTTAAAATTGCTTTACAAACTTGAGGATATGGGATATAATATGACAAATCCAATTCTCTTATGAATAGAATTAATAATTACGATATGTTTGGTTCAATTCTTATTCTTTTTCATTCTTAGTTAAGATGTAGGCTGATAATTTAATTATGATCACCGATATAGAGTTTCTTGAACGAAAATGAATAAGATGGGACATGATCATTTTTCATGCTGCAGATTATCTCTATTTTTGTGTTATAGGCTGATTTTTCCTTCTTAAAAGAAATACGCCCATGACAAGAACTTTGTAATCAAATAATCTAATGTTATTCATTCTTGTTCAAGATGAGCAAGAATTTAAAGTATGAGACCTAAAGCAGCGAACCAAATATGACCTTAATAACTGTAAGCAACTTCACAGTCTTTCAAAATAAGAATGCCCCAGACTTTCAAAATAAGGATGAACTGACATAGAACTCCTGATTTTCGGTCAACTTCATCTCTCTGATTTCCAGTCAAGTATAGTTACAGCTGAATGTTAGAGTAATAAAATTCCTGAAAGCACAAACTTGTTTCAGTTGCAATATCTATATTCTTATGTTGGATAGTTTCTATTTATTTTGAATTATAATTTTCTTTTTCCATGGGATTCAATGTAAATAGTAGGGATATTAACAATATACCCATTGAGTGTTCTAGAATCAAAAGTGAAATCCCATCTTCATTTTCCATGAGTGGGGTCAGCTTTATCATTATCTACTACCATTAGATACCTTGGGTAGGAATTTTAACTATGGGAGATGGTGGAGAGATTGAGACATAACAACAAGCAAACAGCTTGGCCAAAGCTTAATTACTTGGGATCAAGGTTTTATTCTTTGCAAGTAGGGGTGTCAATTGGACTGGATTTGGTCCAATCCGGTCCAGTCCAATGTGAGTTCATTATAAATGGACTTAGTCCAATCCAGTCCAATGAATATTTTGGATCATTTTGGACCGATTCAGAGACTGTCCAATCTGTTCAAATTCCTATTAATTTAGATTAGTTTCAACTCAAACCTGGTCGATTGACACTATGTTCTTATCTTCTATCAATGGACCAGATATTGTCTCAATCCAATATAAATTCATTATGGAAGGACCAGGTCCAACCCAATATGTCATATTGGTCCATCCAGTCCATCTAAATTCAATGTCTTATTGGTCCATCTAATCCATCCAAATATATTTTGATTTGCAAGGGCTCGAGATATGACAGGCCTATCTGATCTCTCTCTGGGAATATCTTCTGATGGTACAGCCCATGACTGTCTGAATCAGTTCTTTGTTAAGTTTCCAGGCATGAAAGAGATCCGTGGATGCATGGCTCTAGCTCTGAATTGGCCACCATTCCTCTAATTAGCGGAGGCTAAAGAGTTCATGTATAGACAAACAAATTTAAATATAAAAATAAAGAAAATAAACATTTTAATTACTTGAATTGCAAGCTGAATGACTGCCCCCAATACTGAGTAGAGACCACATAAGTCTGCTGTGTTTGATTGCAGTGCAACTTTATTTGCACTAGTATAAATGTATGAGAGTGCAAATGAAAAAAAAAATGCAAATTGTCGTTTAATTTTGCTTTGGGTTTTACTTATTTGACTTCATGTCTTAATTTATTTCATTTTGTATGTAAAATAATTTATAAAAGGGAAGAATAGGTATTTAAAAAATACTGGTGCATCAATCTAACATTTTCCGTCTGGAATAGTGACGGAAGAGAGGTTTTTGTTGAGTTTCTTAAAAGTTCAGGGGAGGTATCTGTTAAAATGAAACTATAGGGAAGGTTTTTATGATTATCAGAAACTTCAGGGGAGGTTTTTGTATTTTATGCTAAAATATATTGAAACTCCTAGATATCATAACTTGGTGCTTGGATATCAGTTTGGGGTGATTTTTTTCTTATTTTGATTTTGAATAGCTTTTTGAGATGTACACATGGCACCTTGTCCTGATATTTTTGCTAAAAAAAAAACTTTTTTGCCTCAAATTTCAGTTTTTATAAAAGATTAAAAGCTGAAATAAAAATATAAGTTAAACTTGACATAAATAAATATATACTAACATAAATATAATTATGCACAAGTTAATTAATATAATACATGTATATATAAGTATAACCCCAACAACTAGCCAAAGAACTTACCCAACTAAACCACCATCAATTGGTAATAATGGAATAAACTCTTTACTGAAGAGGAGATTTTGGTGAGAGAGAGAGAGAGAGAGAGGTTTTAAGTTTAACAGGAAAGCCAGAAACCAAATGAAGGATGGGTACCCGATGTAGAGGTAGCATGTAGAGAAATCCAAAAAGTCATGACCAACCTCACAAAGACAAGTACAGACTACAGATAGCAGAACAACCTGAGTATAAACCTACATAGCTAACAAACCCTCAAAACGAATTGCTGGTGACATTTAAGCCCTTCATTTGCAGAACAGTACAAACATCACGTCTAGCTAATTCATTCAATCTTGTCCTTGACACGATGGGTGATGAAAAGCAAAAGCAGGCAAGGAACCAAGGATAAACTATAAAGCATGCATACACAATTATAAAGCATACATCTATCCGAAGGAGCTCACCTCAGTAAAGCCCTCAGGATCAAACAGATGTAATTGGATAACTCAGATCCATTGTTCTGTAATAATAATCAGGATCCATAAATCCTTTTTCTGCTTCGATCAAGATTCAAGACTACAATGTAGTTGTTTTTCAGCCACTATAAAATCCCCATAGATTGTTAAAAAAAGAGGTGATTTTAACTAGGTTCATGATGTTATACACAGAATATTACAAGTATATTAGTACATACAGGTATAAGGAAACAGACAGGAGAACAAAAATAAAGTTGATTCACTGCAGTAAAGATCAAATGAATTTCAAAATAGCTAAATCCATTACTGGAATTGTCGAGGATGATACAAATATTTAAATGCTAAGCGGACCAATGGCTTCATTCCCTACACCAAACATCATGCAGTAACTGGCTCACATATTCCAACAGAACTAAAATGGCTATCAAATTGTTTCATGCATGTTGCTGGAACACAAAATCCTTAAAGCATGTACGGCCATCATCTCTGAACCTAGAAAAGAAAAAGAAATGGGCATAAGCAATGGCTCAAGGTAAAGACTAGAGAGAAACAACTGATCAAACAAATAGATCAAACAGAAATAGAGGCACCATTATACATGTAAAAATTTACACAAAAACCGCAGCAGTGTGCATGGCAAGCTTAAAGGATTTAAATTGCACATAATGCTCATAGCCTAATAATATCACAGTCAGCACGAGTGCCATAACCTATCAGTTAGTGACAATTAAGGACCCATTGGCCAACATGGCTGATTTGGATTTCTGCCATATCTGAAATTCAAATGAACCACTCTACAAACACCATCAGGTTCGGAAATTATAATGGAACACAAGATGTTCCACATCTGAAATATTCCCTTGATTCAGGAATTGATAAATTTGAAGAAAAAAAAAAAAAAGAAAACTCAGAATCAGGAGGTAGAATTTACAAGGATAATCATCCTTAACCAAAATTCTATGGAAATCAAAACATATAAAAATCCCCAAGTCCTGAAGTATGCCAATGCCATCAACTTCAATGGCATCTCCTATCAACTAAACAGGAGAATGCATGGATAAGTTCTATTTCTTATCAGTGGGAATGACTAGCATAAATTAGTGCAAACAAGTGTTTTTTCCCACTGCATCAAAATTGATTACAAAGGTTAACCTCCATTGAAGTAGCCATGCAACAAAAATGAGATATGTGGTTAAGAAGGAAATCACGCAGAACCACTTGCACCATCAAGATATAGCTGGCCATAGTAACTGGGATGGCATACCCAAAAAAACTAATGTGGATGAGATATCCACATCTATACCTGCATCCTAGATCATGGAGAAAACAAACATGTTCCTGACCCCCTGTCTATTTGCTGTTGTTCCTATATCCACATTTAGGCATCTTTCTAATAACTCCAGAACTTAGGCTTAATTTATGTCATGTAGTTGAAGGTAAGAATTCAAGGTTAATCAAGCCATTGAAAAAATCTTGGTTAGCAAATTTTTCTGCATTGATGGAAAGCATCATAATTAGAAATCTGGCAGTTTTACAGTTAATGATGTAAAAAAAATAAATAAATAAAAAAAGATAGATAGGTGATGCATGAAATAAGGCATCTCATTTTAGCACATGAATGAAAATTTAAGGTATCCAATGCCTGAAACAGTGGCAATTGATATCATCCCTGTAATAAACTTGGTGAAGGCACTCAGAATCCCTCCAAAAACCATGATTTGCTAGGAAATATACCAATCAAGGCCAGAGAACCAGGAATATAAGAGAATGTATGACAAATTAATCATCTGGCTTGCATAAAATGTAGCATGTTTAAGTAAATCTTCATTCTCCTGATTAGGTAATCCAGCATGGGCATCATCTCCAACATTACAGGAAACCAAACAAAGAAACCAACCTTGGAGCAAATAGGGCAGCAGCCCAAACATACTTTGCAATGAAACAAGCCAATTATCTTCAACCATGGATGAAATAAAATTGAGTCAGACTGATCCACCATTTCGTTTTCAATTTTCAAATACATTTTTATCAGTAGTACAAAGACATTGCCTAGACAATGCCTAAGACATTACTACTTAGGCTATTTGTACCACCATAGCCCAGGCTATGCAGACAACATGATTACATAGATGACTAGGTAAAATCAATAGCAAGGCCACAGTTGACACTGAAAAATGTTCGTTTATGTTTTATGTTTTAAATTTATCTTTGTTGAGCATATATTAATAGTTACACTTGTAAGCTGAGTTAACCAATGCAAGACCAAGACTTGACTCAGGGGACCTGTAGGTAGACCTAGGCCCCCACAACATGCCATCCTGATTTTATTGGGTGGATCCCACTCTGAAGTCTGTAGATAATTTGGCCAAAATCAGCATAAAAAGAAAATCAAAACTACCTGATTTTAATGCATTTATGGAATTGTGGAGAAATGTCTCTTAAAATTAACATGATGATCTACAAATTATGCACAAATCAGATGGTTTGTTTGGGAGCTATCAAAGGGTAGGTCGCAATTAGTGATACATGGAACGGGTAGAAATTATATGGAGCCCCAGATTCATCAAAGACTCCTCTGTTCCCAGACCCAATAAGCTCCGTTGACACAATAAGCTAATTATATTGAATTGTTCTAAATGCATGAGAATATAAGGGGATATCAGAACCAGCCAAAAAGAAAGGGCAATATACAATACTACAATAGTACATAATATGTAGCAATGTTCTAAGGAAGCATGAGGCTCTAGGACCTTTTTAGATGCATGAGGCACAAGCCTCATGGTGTCAGGTATAAGCCTCATCAGTTACTGATTTTCAAGGATAACATCAAACTAATACAAGGATAAGTATGGAAACACGCATAAGTGGAGTATACTTTTATGTAGGAAAAGCATAAAAGGAATAAATTATCACACAAATGACAGTTGAGAATATTACGATCTTTAGAAAGCAACCACATTAGCAAACCCTATATGGTTGGGATAAGGCTTGGATAATGATGAGAAAACCACAGCATTCTTACAAGCCATTTAATAATGACTAGGGAGCTCTAAATGTTAAAGAATACCTCAAAATGGTTTTAAATTAAAGAATCGATACAAGAGCAAGAAATGTATTTAATACTTTCAAGTATGAGCCTCAAGGCATTTTCCTTGAGCATTGTCCTGTAAATTTTAAAACAACAATTTCTAATACAACACAGCTACCTAGAAAAATTCTTAATTGCCCAATTTATATCATTTAATATTTTAGTTCTTTGATTTTCTTACCACCTAGAAATTGACTGGGTATTGTCTAGGCCACATCTCACCTAGCTAGTCAAAAACACCTAGGCTTCTCCTAGCCAACTAATTACACTGTTCATTAGGCTAAATTTTGGGTTTCAGAACATGGGACCAATAGATGAGTCGGGATCTTCCATAACTTGCCAATGATCCAATATTATGACCTTTGAGCAAGGGTCCCAAGTACCTGGCAGATCAGCTGGAACAAAGACCAGGAGGCACAAAAGACTATAACAACCTAATTTTATTGCATATTTTTTATCAGTAACAGAAAACTTTCATTAGTTAAGAAAAAGGTGTAACCTAATGTTATTGCATATTGGACAGTAGAGAGACAAATCAAGAAATGGCCAGTAAAGAGAAGTTTCTCATGAGGTTAAAAAGTAGATCAACAAGTAATTCTGAAATCGGATGATTGAAAGCCATCCAATTATTCTAAAATTTAGTACATCCAACCAACAGTGAATCACAAATTTTGGAATAATGGACAAGTGGAAATTTATGGAGGCCCAGACCCATCTGAAAGTCTGCTGTCCACAGGCCCAAAACACTAGTCCCTATCACAGTTAAGAGATCTGAAAAAGAATACTCCTCCAAATGAAGCAGATAAAATTCAACCCCATTCAGATTACTTCTAAACCACAATATCCATGTGACACAAATGCTCTTTAACATGATTCCAAGGGACTCATGGACACCTTTTAAGAGACACAAACCTCTACACAACCCCACCCTCTATTTGTGCTTCCATATTCAGACTCTATGTATAAACCGAGCATAAATCAGAGAGGGGAGCCCACCCAAGGAGGCAAGAAAAAGGGGGCATTAAAAATTTAAAGCTTGTTACTGGGAAATCTTTTCTGGGGAGGAAAGTTAAACAGGGGCATAGCAGGAACGCCCCCAAAGGTTTGAAAACACCTGCAAAGGGTGATGATAAGAGGTACCCTCCATCCTAAGAGAGTGCCCCCTACTGTAAATCCTTAGGTTAAACATGACACAAAGCAACACACCTGGAATCTAAATCGGTAAATCCTTAGGTTAAACACATAGTTTTTAAAAATAACTTGTGAGGGACTTAATGGCTTTCTGTATCAGGTTTTCTTTTCAAAAAGGATCCATCTTTGGGAATAAAATAACTTGAGAGGGAATTGATGGTTTTCTGCATCATCTTAGCTCAAGATGATAACTGTGGAATACATAACTATATTCAGGTACCATGGAGACCTGGAATCTTACATATTGAGGTTCAAAATTTGATAATGCTAAAGGGCATTATCAAAAACCCTACTGTACAATCTTGACAGTATTATGGGATGTGGCACAGCAACGTACCCAGAGATCATGCTTATATAGGATGTAGTGAATACATGGAATTAGATATTCAAAGCATGTGGACTTTAACTAATCTTATTGTCTTATCAAGCATGTATTATATACACATCCCACAAATATTCCAGTCTATCTATCATAAGTTGAAGCTCAACAATCTTATCATATTAGATATAAAAAGATTCATGCACAAATGCTCCATATCAAATTCAGAAGGGAATATACTTCAACAGATACCCTCAGTATAGTTGCCTAGATAAGCCATTTGTCATGGAGAGACCACATCCAGCATGCAGTACATAGTGAATCAGATCGGTGTTGCATGGGCGGGCTCTCCTAAATGGATGCATGTCAACGTTTTGAACCGCCATTGACCCAGATGGTCGGACCGTTCGGCCCGGGAACCATCCAGGCAACCGGTTCAGTTTTACCCAAAACCCGGAATCTGGTCAAAAACCATTGAAAAAGTCAACAAACCATTGATCCGGGTGGTCAAACCGTCGACCCGTTCAACAGTTTTTGACCGTTTTTTATTTTTTTTAATTATTTTTTAATTTTTCTGTCAGAACAGGCCATCCGTTCGAACCGGATGGTCGGACCGTTGACCCGGAAACTGGTGCCCAGAACGGTTCCGTTTCCGGGTCATTTTTTAAAACGTTGATGCATGTCTGTAAACAGAAATTGGAGTCCAACACTCCATATTCATGAGGACACTTCTACATAACATTTCCTTTTTTTTATTACCTGGCTTATTTGAAATAATGATCAGCTATTTTACAAGACAAAAACCATATTTCCTATAAAAGATTACTTGGTAACAAAAGTAACATTTTGGACCAATTTTTGTGGGTATATAATACTAGAATTGAAAAAAAAAGAAATATGAACTATTTTAATAGTATATACTTTTCCATAGGCATGCCCTTAAGTCTTATGTTTTCTCATCTTGTTAAGTCAAACTCTTCAACACAGGTCAGATTCCAACTCCCATTTCCATGTCCATGCAACACTGAATTAGACACACGTATACAGGTTTTCCAGCTGCATACCCAATCTGAAATGAATTCTGCCTACATTGTAACCATACTCATGATAGACCTTAAACCCAAAATCTTAAGTATCCCTGAATTATTCTGCTTAATTTATCTTTCTCTAGGATTCCAAGTTGGGTACCCAACTTCAAGAGTTTAAACTTATTGCCGTTATTGAGCCCAAGCCCTCAGGTTGCTCCCATTCAAATGTTGGAAAATGTTCAATAAGAACCCGCCCAAGTTGTAGTATTTCTTAGAGAGATATGACACTATTAGGCATCACACCATCAGACAACGCTTTTAATGCATTGAACTGCATCTTGAATGCAGTGCATCTATTTTAAAACGTGCAAACCAAATCTTGTTTTGCCAATATGTGCCCACGGAGCATGATGGATTTCCTTACAAACACAACTTTAAAAATCAGTATCTCCATGTCCATGAGTATATTATCATCACCCGGGACTAAACATCCACGTTATTGGTAACAGCTAAAAGAACAAACTTAATCATGTTTTTTGTCAAATATTGTTCAGTCATATCCATCCCATCACAGATTGATAGGTATAAACTTCCTGGAGAGGAGAGCACAGCAGTTCTAGCGAGCCCATGCTTTACTATCACCTCATTTACAAGGAACAAATAAGACATTAACAAATCAGAACTAACTTATTAAATCAGGAAAACCAATACCCATCTGAGCATAAAGCACGGGCAAACATAACCAAAAACCAGTTCTGACATTAGGCTCGTAACACTCGTTATGCAGGAATTAGAAAGACGACATAAGTAAATGAATAACTCTCAGGAAGGAAAAATCCCAGACAATGTCGTAGACGACTAATCATTCATAGAGTTTAAACTTTGAATCAGCATCTTAACCAGGATCTACATATGCAACCTCATTAACAACGAATAAAAATCAAGAAAACAGATGTTTTACCTACACCCAGAATCCCAAATCCCTAATCATAAAAAAATAAATAAATAAATAAATAAAAGGATCCCTGTTTCTTCACCTAAACAAACAAACCCCATAACAAGAAAATGAAAAACGTATTGGTTTCTCGTTACCTTTGTGGCACAACCCATCTTTCTGGGAGCTGCTGCTCTCCAAAGTGAAGAGCAGCAGAAGAGGACCAGGAGATGACGACGACGCCATGGTCAGCACAAGCATGAGTTCGAGTTGCAGTAAACATCTCGAACCCTAGTTTTCTGTCTCAACGAGTCACAAGGAGCGCGGGAGAAAGAAAAGTTTCGGAGCTTCTTCCGTCGAGATTTGTCTTCCCCCAGAGATCACGCGCTAAGAAGACAGAATAAACAAGAACACATTTCATTCACAACTCCACAGTTGTTGTGTGCTGGGTGGGTCTGAAACTGCCTCTATCTACTGTTTCTTCTGAGGTTTTGTCATTTGAGAGGAGGAAGAGCAGCCAAGCAGGAGGGAGGCTTGTTTGGCAGGAGGGCTTCCCTTTTACCTGAGAGGAGAAAGCACTGCACGAATCCAGAGGGAAGTCTTTTACGCATCCGAGGTAAAAAAAAAAACGGAGAAAATTAAAGGAAAAACTGAAAAAGTATTTCGATTTCAAATGAAATCCCCGCCCTTTTCAATTTCTCTCCTTCTCTCGTTTTTTCAATGGCACAGGAAATCCTTCCCCCACAAGCGTCCGGGTCTTCGGGCAGTGTGAGACCCACGTTACACCACTTGATTTGAATCTTTTCTTTAACCGTTGGAATGGAGTGTGAGAGTTTTCAACTTGATTTCGGAGGTCGGTCAATTGGGCAGCGTGGGTCTGTGGAATTGGAATTTCTTTTAGTAAGCAATGTGGGTGGGAGTGAAATTGGAGGTGGGAATTTAGCTGTGGAATTCCTTTCCTGCCGTTTGTGTATTTACGAAGAATTTGTAAGCAGAAATAAGCTCAACAAAAAAACAAAACACATTTCTGAGATTCACCAGGTTCAAGATGGCCCGAATTCAAATGGATCGTGCCCTGGGCTTGTAGCCGGATCCAGTTGAGCCCATTTCAGATAGGATCCAACAATGCAAAAAATGGATCGGGTATGGATCCACTGTATAAAATATGGTGAGGATCAAAACCGGCCTGTTCCCCATTTTCATAAGAGGCCCTTGATTTATCCGGATCTGGGCCGTACCCGACCCATTCCATGCCCTATCCAACTTGATCATGCCTACCTTTAACAGTTTACCACATGACTCAAGAGTGAAAACCAACATCCAGACAAACAATTTTTGAAATCAATTGAATTGAATTCCTTCCCAAATGCTAATTCCGAGTCCAGTAACCCAAAAGACAAAACTGAAGATCACTGTGGCTCGATAAAGAGATTCCCTGACTTATTTAGACAAGCTAGGTATCATGTCACTGAGATAAGCATAAGCTTAACTTTGTAGCTCATAATTAGGTGAAATGTCACATTTATAAGGCAGGTTGTTAAGTGGGCTTCCCTGAATGACCCAAGAATCTTTCACATTAAAATTTTAGTTTAGATCTCGATAGAAATCTCTGAATTCTTATCATCAGTCTCTGTTCATGGAGGAAAAAAAAAATAGACAGAAATAAAAAATAAAAAAGGCATTGCCACATAAACAAAACAAGCCCTCTCTTATAGATAAGTTGTATCATCATTAAAGCCTTGTTCATACTATATGGGGTTCGCTACATGAATCTTGTTTTGTCGTTCCGTTTGTTAAATTATGAGGACTTAAATCATTTCTTATTACTTTGACTTAACCTTTATATTAAAAGTTAAAAAATTGAAAACTCATGAATTCTAAAAACTACTAGTTGCAAGGTAGGACTTATGGTTGATATGGATTGTGGAATTGAACATGAATCCCCTATCTGATGGATGGTTTGGATCTACTGCAGGACCCGTCCAAATCGCAGAAATATATTGGTTCTTTTTGGTTGAATTGCTCTCAAGCGTTATTTGGTTGCATGTTGAAGTGTAGGGAAACAAAAAAATTTCCCTGAAATTGCAATTTTACGGCGTTTGGTTGTATGTCTAAAAAGCGGGTGCTAATTGTAGGAAAACGACATTCTTTCTAATATTCCTGAAGTCACCTTCCAAACAAGATTTTGGCATCTCCATTCTACAACACTCATATAATTTCAACCATCTAGGTTTGCTTTACAAGTTAAGCAAAACACTACAAACTTAGGAATATGACTCATTTTCCTATTGATGATGAATATCATGATTTCCCAATAAATCATTGTATTTTCCTTTGTTAGTTTTACATGCAACCAAACATAGGTTTTACCCAAAACCCAAGTTTCTAATCATCTTGAGCTCTTCAACATGCTTGAATTAACAAAGAATAAGATCAAATTTTGAACTTCCAATATTTAAGAAGGTGATTACATTATTCATTGTAATAATTCTGAGGATTAATTAGTATTAGGAATTGATTTCTATTCCGAATTCTACTAGTGAAATCCATCACTTGTGGAAGTTATTAGAATCCAATCATCTTTTTCTTCCAAGCAAAGAAACTCCATCAGAAGCTTGAAACACCAGAATATCAGAAATAAAGAAGATATATGAGAACAAAAACAGTGAAATATTCTTCCATTTGACATACAACTAAGTGACACCCATATGATTCAAGTTTGGTCTGTGACCCCCCCATACACACATAATGGCTAAAACTGCTTGTGAAATGTTGTCCTCTCCATGTGCTAGAGCTTTAAGCCAGGTTATGTCCATTGTCCACATTATTTGCTCATCAGGGAGCTTTTTTATTTTCTCAGAACCCAGTTTGTCAAAATGCATGGATATGTGATATGATGTGTCTTTGTTGCTGAATTATTTTAAAGAGATGGCCCTTTTGGCCTCCATATTCAATCAATGAGATTGATATCTTTTGTGGGCCTCTTTCTTTGAATATCAAGGTTTGGTTTCAATGGCTCCATAGTTGGCTACTGGTGCCTATGTAACAAGTGTTCCTATGTTTGTTTTAGTTTACCAATATATGAAATTTCCTTATAAAATGCTATGTAACAAGCAGTTTAGCTCCTCTTCCATCAGATTTGGGGAGGCCCTTAAGTAGATAAGTTGGTCCATGAGTGTTCTCTTTCATAGGGTCCACCATGTTTGCAGAACCACATACACACATGCAACTGAGCTGGCTGGTAGCTTCCATTATGCAACTCTAATGGTCATCTTTCCTTTGCTGGATAGAGCTTGGTTTTTTATCTTGACATTAGTGAAACAAGACTAGGGGCCATTTGCTAACAGCCAATGTTCCAAGTGTCGCGATGTATCGGTGTATAACATACGATATGTATTGGTTTTTGAATCCACCGATACCCTAAATATTAGGAATTAGGACATGTGGCCGCTTTTGAAGGTTAATACGTGCCTTTTCTAGAGATGTCTTGACTCAATTCTTGAAACCTAGGAAAGGAAAAAATAAAATGAGTATCACTATCTAGCTACTTCAAAGGATATGCAAAAATCGCATATCACCCATATATATTTGATATTTTGAACCTCATTAATAGCTGAAGTAGTTGGACTGAATAACTTATCGTTTTTGTCTTTTAGTGAATAATTAAGGAGGTTGTAAGGAGATCATATATATGCACTTACATCTCAATCCATCTATCAACTGATCATAATTAGGTGGTTGGATTTGGATCCTATCAGATTTTCAAATAACCCTAGTCCATATCACCATCTCTAAAATAAAGAAAAACTAAAAAGTTGCAAATAAATCAATCTCTTGGACTTATACATGTAGAATAGATTTATATATAAAAGTATGAAATAACAAATTTATTAACCATAAATATATATATATATATTATTTATCTATATGTGAATATACATAATTGTATATTATATATAATGTATTTTCATATTATACAAAATTTAATCAAACTCATAATCAGCTCGAATTGGATTAGATCCACATACAATCTGGTTTTTAAATGGATGTAGTTTTTAAAAGCAAATCCAATCTATTTATGCAAATGGATCATCTGAATTAATCCAACATATTCAAATTGGATCTTAGTATATATAGGGCTTTTAGATTACATTGGCAACCCTAATAGCTGAATCTGAAATTGGATTGATTACTATAGCCTTGAATATTTTATTGTTTAGTTATTTCATATACCGAAAGATAGCAATAAGCCTTTTTTTTTTTTTAACAGTGAGACGGCAATAAGTCATTCAATTCAACCATTTCAAACATTATCAAATGATCCCTTTGGGGGCTAGCTGAAATGGCTGAATGACTTATTACTTTGCCTTAGTTATCAAGGAGGTTATAAGCTCATTTATGGCTGAAGCGGAGTTGATTACTTTACCCATGAATATTTTATTTCTTAAGAACTTTATCCACTAAATGACAAGTAATAAGTCATTCGGTTCAGCCACTTCAGCCATATTGTCAAATGGCTCCTAAGGTAGTTTGCTTAAATATTATTATACTTATCCCTACGACTTCAGGGAAACGTGTCTCTCTTTATTTCAAAATGCTCACTTAAAGTTTTACTAATCTATTTTCTCTCCTATTCTTTTTTATGTATTTTTGTGTTCAAGCTGAGAGTCATGTTGTATTTTTCTTTCCTTTGCATGCATTTGTTTGTGCAAAAACTAAAAAAAATGTATAAAATATAAGGGCTCAACTATCCTTATTTGAGTATATTGTTGACCATATTGTGTATGTAGTGATAATGCTGATTGGGAATGCCAGACGCCAACAATTAGCCACCACCCTCCCTCAATTTGTTGGACCAAACCGTCAACTGGAGTGATTAAATTTAGGGATAAGTGGACTGCAATCCACTTCAGAAATCTGAATTGCAGCCCCCTCCTAGTCTATTAGTAGCCCGTAGCCCCCCCTCCCCCCGCCCCCCCTGTAAACAGCATCCTGCTTGTGAATTTGGCATCAATCCATGGGCAGGATTCAGTTCACCCCTAGAAATCTTAGTTCCACCCTATGGGTGGATTGAACTATAAAAACCCCTTAAATTTAATGTTGATGGGGCAGTTGGTCCTTCATCAAGGGAGGGGGGTACAATCAAGGAGAATGCCTATTAGATTGAGCAGTCCCTTTCCAATGGGATTCCCACTTTGGCATTGGTGGAAGGCTTGAAATTTGCACTATAATTGGCAACTAGGCAGAACTTTGTTGAGAGTAGGGATGGCAATGGGGTGGGTTTGGGGAGGATTTTTTAGATTTTAGACTCTACTACCCTCACTAAACCTCCCAACCCATACCTATACCAAAACCCATAGTGAGTTGGACTTTGAGAATCCAAACCCTCCCTACACATGAAAATGTAAGATCATCCCCACATTCAAGGGTAGGGGTGGGTTGGGTTTAGAACCCACATCTAATTTCCTATCATTTCTTGTTATATATAAGCAATAAATGAGTAAACTAACACAAATAAATAAAATTTCCTATTATTTGATTAAGACATGTAAAATACACATAAATTATCAATTATCTTTCATATAAAA